TGTCTTGCTTTGAGGATGGAAGGGGTTCTGTTCCAGTGCGTGCGCTACCAGAGGGCCAAAGGTCTTGGTGGGCGCTTCCAGGACGACATCTAGGGGCTTCTTCATTTTACATGTTCATGATGTTTCCTTAACAAGCGCAATTAACAGGCTAACGTACGTGACAGTATATACTTTACTGATGGATATTCAGCATAACATATATAATCAAAAGGTTAAGTAACATGTCCATTGCAACCTTAAGTTCTTCCTTGGTGAGAGCAAGATCAAATATCCAATACCGGTTAACAGTTCTAAATCAAGTGGAAGAGGTTACGTGTTTGCACAGTGGATAGGTGGAAATTAGCTTTTGCGAGCAGACTTTACATTGTGTACTATAGGTTGCTGGCATTTTCAGGTTCTGCATATGGAAGTCTCCCGCAATGTGAATGTGACTATTTAAGATCTTCAGCTTCCAAAGTTGGTTCACCTTACAGTACATTTTCGACGTGGACGTGGAAGGTAAATTACTGTTACATGATATGTGTTCTTGTCACGTAGCCATAGCCAACGCCAAAGCGAACCAGCGGCGCGGATTTCGGGTTATCAGTAATTTCACATCAGAATTAAGCATTGTAATCAAAATCCGCATCACAACCTCTCCAGTTCAATCGTTCCGAAGCAGCGACATACAGAGTAACTTGATCTCATTTTCGACTATCTTAAGCCTTAACCAAGTCTTTGTACTTATGATGAGATCCCGCGACTGTGACATCTGGCGCTCTCTAAATTCTACCAACTTACTAAGAAGAATTTGGGTGTAAGTGTACATCCGTATGGTGTTTTAGATGGTAGAAGTGTTTGTCTGATGTCAAATTCGTCTTTGGCTTTAAGCCGATCGTTAGGTGGTCGGCTGATAATCTTACGTTTGACAAACCGTTTGCTTATGATTTTCAGTCGCACTGCATGGATTCACACAGCATTCCAGCTCACAAATTCCGCTCACGTTTTGCGCTGTCCTGTCGGGTGCCTCAGGTGGTGTTGCGCCGGTCTCGCCTCCAGACTGTGGAGACTAAAATGTTACGGCGAGTGTATGCTGAAGTGAAGTGTTTACTACTCGTTGCCTTGCCCCTGCTGTTTTAACCGAAGCTAGTTTGGAAGTAATGCTTTAACCAGATATCCAATAGGAATATTTTCCCTCGGAATGCAGTGACACTACTATTATTTTTTAGACCGCAGCCCTTATAGGTAGGTGTTGAAGTAATTCTTATCAAAGATTTAGTGTTACCGTCGTCCAGAAAGAATGCATCGAAGAGGTAACGAATTCGCACTCGGTTATAAGTATGTGTGTCATGATCAGGAGTATACAGTAGCACAGAAACATCACAAACTATTATGATTTCTTTGTTACATTTGTGCGAGGACAGAATTGGTTTCCTTTTTCCTTCCAGCACCCTTTCTTAAGTTGAGAGGGTAGTGGGCACACTCTGCTCGATCTGTTGCGGAGACCAACACTGAGAGTAAGACTTTCTCCGTCTCACCTGCTGAGTTCAGTGTTACTAGAGTAAATCAAGATTCACCTTAGTGCACTGAAGTTGAGTGACGAGAAACGAGTCTCAACATAGTGGGCTTGACCAGAATGCTAATAGCATCGCAGCTGGAATTCTAATGGTTGCGATCGTCTAACAACTTGCGCTTTATTGTATTAGATTTGAATTCGGGAACATTAGTGCCTACTAGAGGTAACGCACGGTTTTTCTTTTTAGCGAATATCTTTTTCAAACTTCTGGTAGGCGATTTGGATTATTCGTCAGGCACTGCAGATGGTATTCAAGGCTGTATCATCGCTCGTGCTCGGTACAGAAGATGGACCTACGGATGTCGCTGCCTGGGTATTTAGCGAGACAACCGATATGTACGTTACCCGAGTCTGATATGCGGATGTCGTGAACGACTCGTTAAGTGCAACTTTCAGGAATGGATAGAAAGCTGTGACGTTGAATGTGATTTGCTCACTTAGAATATTACGATATATCAGAGTAAGCGACGCCAATGTCGTGGGGCGACTAGCAAGAATTACTTCCCTCTTCGACCTAGGGATGGAGAGCAGAGGTTGCTACCGTGGGGCGGGATCAGACTTGGTAAGTTCCAAAGATGTGGCCCTGAAACTCACCATCTGCTCAACTGTTTCAATCAGTTTTGACATTTGCATGGGCACGAATATATAATTGACAATTGGAATGACTGTGTGCCTGGCAGATCTGGCGAAATCACTTTGTTTGTCTCTTGAGCAACCGTTCAGAGATTGACTGGCCTACTTTGAACGGCCTGAAGCAGGACGAGGTGAAGGTGAGTTTGGCGGGCACGCGGACACTAGATGAGACACAGAAAGCACTTGCTCAGTTGCGAAAGGGCAACTGTGCCGGGGCCGCCGGGATCCCGTCTGAAGTATGGAAACATGGCGGATCTGCGTTGGTGACTGCGCTGCACCACTTGGTGCAACGCGTGTGAATTGAGGAAGAATTGCCTCCTGAGCTTAAGGATGCCCTTGTGCTACCGCTGCACAAATGAACTATCGTGGCATCAACTTACTGAGTTGTGTGGGCTAGGTGATTGCCCGAAACTTACTCAACGGCTCCGTCAGTCAGGTTGTGGAACCGAACATGGCGGAAGAGCAATGTGGATTCCGTTCGGGTGGCAGCACCATCGAAATGGTGTTTGCGGCTCATTAAGTGCGGGAGAAGTGCAGAGAGAGACACCAGCAGCTGTACTCACTGTTTGTTGCTTTCAACATATCATTTGATAGGGTGAACTGTGAGGCACTAAGATTGGTGTTGGGTAACTTTGGCTGTCCGACTAAGTTTGTAAGTTTATTTGTATCTCTGCACAGTGGTTTGCGACCGAGTGTACAGCTGAATGGACAGACCTCGGATGACTTTGCAAAGCTATGCAAAGCTAACCAAAGCTGTGCCTTAGCTCTTGTCCTGTTCAATATTTATCTTCAGGCCATGATGTCTTGTGTTTGTGATGCTGCTTGTGCTTATGATGTTCGTGTGGAGTACCGCATTGATGATGGGTTGCTGAACATCCGCCGTTCCGATGCGAGAACCCTAGACTATGAGGCAACTATCCGTATGCTGCTGTACGCTGACCAATGTGCATTGTTTGCACACAACGTGGATGAGTTGCAGCAAATGACCAGTATCCTGGCTTCGACAACTGCTTAATTAGGGATCACCAGCAACACAAGCAAAATTGTCTTATTTTCTTCGAGTTTACACTGGATAGGGGGATGTGCGGATGGAGCTGTGGGTGGTACGGCGCAAGCCACCATAGTCTCTCTGTAGGCGCAGGTGTCCTGTGGCTGTCATAAGAAGGCTGAACTGGCACGCAAATCGGGAACCGAACATCACTAATCATGTTTCGTAGAATCATAGCACATCAGTCAAAATGTAGGGCAATCAACTCCAGATTAACCGGGCTCCAATCGGTTCACCACATTTACCGCAAGTGGAATCATGTCTAGTGACGGCCGATGTTGCTATTAAAAGTTACATCTGTCCGGTCAAGTGATGGCAAAGGATATGTGATAATCCGTTTCGTTGACCCAGGCGGACGGTTGTAGTGGCTCATCTTAGTTGGGTGTGTTCCGGTCCGTGTGGGGCCGAGCCTTTTGATTTAGCATGCAGTAATTGGATGCCAGTCACTGAGTGCCCGCGATGAGGGAATATAATCGAAAGCTGCAAAATGAATCGCAGCCTCCTTAGAAATGGTTCTGTAGGAGCAATTGTAGCACTGACAGTTAGTGTATAGAATCTTTTAGTAAAACATGGTTTCGTAACGGTTAGGGTTTCTAAAAGACAACAAAGGTGCGCGCGTGAACGTGATCTCGAGGCGTGCCACAAAAGCTTGGGTTTCAAGATGCACCATCGGTAGGGAACGATTCCACAAATATGTGCCCACTGAATATGGGAATGGAACTAAATTCGAATGAGGGTTTGATGGTTGCACTGGATGCAGATGAGGCAGAGCAAATTCCTGACAGAGTACAGCACATAACTACGCGACTACGAGGCGAACAGACATATATAATGCTATACAATATTCGGGCTTTCAATTCCGGTAAACAGTTGGGGATATTGGAGGCCCATTCTGTAGTACTCCTTGTGTGTTTGGATTGCGACGCTCAGTTGCAGTGCAGATTGCAATTCCAAATGAAGTGCATAATGGGCAAGTTAATCACTCGGACCTTAAATGACGAAACAGATGAATAGTGGATGTTGCCAGCCCGAAAACATGGCACTCAGCTCGCGTTTTGAGCTTGTTTGATTTTATTAGGTAGAGATGGCAAACTTTGAACCCGGAACCAGTGGGACTTGTCAATCACATGCAGTTTTACCCGTGATAAAGCATTGTTATCATTTGAGACTGTAGCCACTGGGTCACGACAGGCAAAGCTTAGCACAAAGGTTAAAGACTGCTTGGAGAGTCCTTTGAAATGACCACTATATCAAAGACTTTTATCGATTCGTATTAAATTGTCACAGCATAATAATGCGATTTCTACTCCTGAATGATTTCTATTTCAAAAGTATAGGTGCTACGAAGCCCAAATATTATGTTTATGGAGATCAAAACGGAGACGGTCGATATTCCATAATCACATTCGCTGAGTGCCTAGGAAACTCAAAGAGCAGTAGACTTTTCTTGATATGACAATTCTGTACACCGGTAACCTTGATGGTATTAAGAAAGGGAAGTTTAGTATTCAACTACTTCACAACATCTCCCATTTCGGTTTGTATATATGTTGTGTTTAAAGATAAGATAACTTGTTGGCAAAGGTGACGTTCTCTCGGTGATGGAGTCGAATCGAGCACCATGGACCCAGCGGTTCACTCAAACAAACAAACCGCTACTTGAGGTCGCGACCCGATGCGACGGTTCCATTTCACATTGATGACAGGGAAGAAAAAGATATGGATAACATGTGAAAAATTGGCCGAACTTGAAAGGCGACTCACTTGCTACCGTTATACAATCAGTGTTGTAGTTGTAATTTTCCGATCGCGAGTACCAGCAGCGTGCGATGGTTGCGCCTGAAATGCGAGTAACAGTCAATATGGATCAAGGTCTACTGAGCACACATAGGATTCAGACAAGTGACCACACTGTTGACCAAGGGGCGACGGAGCTATATACAGTTCAGAAAAATATTTTCCGCTGGGCAGTTAAGGGCAATAATACTTTCGGAATTCGACACCGCCAATAAAGTATACATTGAATACATTGAACACGCTGGAAGTAGAAAGAAGCGATGATACGGCGAATAAGAACAATGAGGAAGTTTCGGCAATAATTTATTGGCATCTCTCCTAATTGCGGTTGTCAAGATCCAGTGGCGTGCACAATGGCTGAAGATCAGCGTTTAAAAAATCACAAAATGGCTAGATGTTTCCAAGGTGGCAACCAATGTTTCATTTTTGGAATGCCGTCTATAAGTGCTGTTCAAGCCGATTGCGGCAGAAATGTTTGAGAAACTGGGTAAAATCTTAGGATGAATGTGTACATCATTGGTGGATTGAATGGAATATAAAAATAAATAAACGCTAGCAATGTTCCAGTTATCTCGTTTGCGATTGGAGCAATAGACTGCGTAAAATTTGCAAGCGTTGTTTTAATAGACGGGAAGTTACAGAGAAATCTCATTCTACAGTCGAACCTATCCAAGACGACAACTCAAAGGACGGACGAAAACTGGTCGCCTTTGACGGGTGGTCACCATGAACTAGTTCATGCGTAGGGACATTACTCAGCAGAGAAAACGTTAGGGATATTTTTGGATGGTCGCTATAGACAGGTCGTCCCCATAGACAGGTGTTGGCTATAGCAAGTTAGACTGTATTTGAAAATGACTATAGGTACCAAGTCTGAGCCCAGGATAGATCATTTAAAGGTTGCACGAAGTAAATCACTGGAAGTAACAAGCAACATTGCGCCAATGGGAGACGGGGATTTCAGAGGTATTCCTGATGCAACGATCAGGATGAAGAACTTGTTTACACTTAACGTCCGAACGTCATCTATGGGTCTTAGTGAAAGAACACGGTACACTTTAGCACATTTGCGCTCCGAGTCAGAGTGGCTGGATCCTGCTACGTTGTGGGCAAGAACTGAACTTTGCGTAGCATAGCCTACGCACTGGCGTTTGTAGTGCATTTTTGCTGGGATACTTGACGTGCCCGCAACACCTCCCTTTGAAGATAATGTGTTCCGGTTCTGACATGGAATGACCTGGAGGGATTTCGGTGATCTCCGAACCCATGTCTCATCACCCATGGAGACATCATGCAGCATATCACCTCGACGGGCAGTCATTGTTGCTTTGGTCCAATGTAGATGATCTGCACGATAGTTGTGAGCGTATTATGGGGCTCTGACGACTAATTTACTGTGCTCGGTGCATGCAGTATATTGACTTAGTGACTTTTCGGTTGGAATGAGCGTTTCGTTTGTAGTGAGTAGCCTGCGGCCCATCAATGCTTCAGCTAGAGACTGGCATCCTGGATCGGTTGGCATTTGTGTGAAGCGCTAAGAGAGCAGGAAGGCTTGAAGGCCATCACCTACGGCCCTCTCACCATGAGATTTCAAGGTTGCCCAATTGAAGATGTCGACAAACGTCTGCGCTTGACCATTGGACTGGGGATGGTAGGGTGGTGAGCGTAGGTGTTAGATGCGATGCCAGTGACAAAAGTCTTCGAACATGGAAGACGTAAACTGAAAACCATTGTCGGGCACCAAAACTGTGGAAACGCCATATTAGCTGAAGATGCATCGTAAACAACCAGCCTGGTGAATACGGTTCTTGGGTTGACGGCGACAACGTAAGGCCATTTGGAATAGGCGTCGACCACGCCCAGGTAGGAAATGCCATCGATAGGATCAGCATAGTCAACGTACACCCGAGATCACGGTTTTTCTGTCGGCTGCCAAGGAACTGGTCGTTTGTGTGGTGTCATCTTAGTCGCATGTTGACATCTTGAGCAACAGCAAATCAAAACTTCAATGTCATTGTCAATACCAGGCCAGTGCACATAACTGCGGACGATTGCCTTCATACTGTACATATCGGGATGAACAGATTGGAGCTGTCGGAGTACAGCTTGCCAGAGGCATGAATAAACGAAACTCGATCTGTAGTCATTAGGTAGGAATCGACCATGAAAAGGAGTTGCGGAGTTGCTACAATTGTTTTAGTTCATCAGAAACGGTAGTGTTTGGCAACGGCGTCTGAACTTAAGTGACGGTTATTTGCTGGACAAGCTCTTGAGCAGTGGCGCGAAGTATGTTGGCGGAAGTAATGGGGAGACTTCCGATGGTGTTCGATACTTGAGGACAAACCTCTTCCTCGAAGGTAACAGCGTCAATCACTATGTCTTCTTCTGTGGCATGCTTGCAAAGGAGACGAGAGAGTCCGTCGGCTTAACCGAAATCCTGAATAGGACAGTAGCGGATTTCGAAGTTGTAATAGAAGAATGACAGCCCAAGGTTGAAGTCGACTAGCCGGGTATGCGAAAATGCTCTTCTTTGAACCGAAGGTTGAAATTAGTGACTTGTGATCGGTCAATAGCGTGAACCGCCGGCCATACAGCATCTTGTGGAACTTGCTGATGGCAAATAAGATCGCCAGAACTTGCTTCTCAATCTGACCATAATACGTCTCCACAGGCTTCAGGGTACTTGCGATGTGCATAACCGCTTTCTCGGAACCATTTGGGAAGGGATTAGAGAGAACTGCTCCGATCCCTTATGTAGAGAAATCAGATGCGAGCAAAATCCGCAAGGTTGGGTCGTAATGGGTCCGCAGTAGGTAAGAAAGCAGCACGGGTTTCAAACGAACACATACCTTATCACATTCGGATAACCAGTGCCAAGAAATGTTCTTCTGCAGCAACCGATCGAGCGGGGCTCGAACGTCGTATAGTGATGGTAGTAAGGCACTATAGTAGCTGATGAGGCCCAGGAAGGACCGCGCTTGTGAAATATCCGCTGAAGCCGGCATCTGCTGGATGGTTCTGACGTTCTCAGGATATGGATGACGGTCACTGTCATCGCAAAGCAAACCAAGGTATTTAAGCGATGGAAGAAAGAATTAAGATTTCTCGGATTTCCAGCGGAAATCATACACTTGGACACGCTAAAAGACCGCAACGAGACGCTCTCGACGCTCTTCTGGGGTACAGCCAACAATGAGTAGATCGTCCAACTACGCGGCTGTACCCGGAATGCCAGAGATAACGGTGTCCAACGTCTGTTGGAAAATGGCCGGAGCGGTTTTGATACGAAACTGGAGTCTGGTGTACTGGAGAAGACCAAGATGTGTGTTGAACTTCAACAAGAATTGTGACTCAGGAGCGACTTTGATCTGCAGGTAGGCGACTGCCAGGTCGATTTTAGCGAAACACGTACCAACATTGAGTATTGTAAAGAGGTCAGCTGGGATCTGTAGTGGGTAGCAACTTGGCTCTAGCGGAGCATTGCGACCAGTGGAGAAATCGGCTTTTTACCACGACGATCGGCGCTGCCCAGGCGGAATAGGACACAGGCACCAGGACGCTCATCTCTTCCAAATATCAGAGTTCGGCATCGAACAACGGTAGGGCTGCGTATGGCACAGGAATTGTGGGACGGAATACCGGGTGAGCTCCAGATCCGAGCTATAACGCGGCGCGCCTGCGTCTATAGCTGCCAAGACCATCCTGGAACAACACCAAGGCAAACTTTCTGATGATGTCGCCGGTTCGGTTGCTTGATACCTCCAGAGGATGTACCGGCTTGCGGATGGCCCGAAGAAGGAGATCGGCCAAGCCAAGTGTTTCGAGTCAGTCGAGACCGAGTAGCTTGAGCTTCGCATTCGTGACGTAGCAGATCTCGTTGAATTTGGCGCCTCAGAAGGAGATGGAGCAGTGCAACTGCCCAGTTAGCTGCACTCGAGCACCACAGGCGCTGGTGGCTAAATGGGCGATCGGTTCGAATAGAGGCTCGCCAAGGAATGGCCAGAGACCCTTGGAGATGATCGTGTGGTCCGACGTAGTATCCAACTGCAATCGGACTGACTGACCGTCGACCAAGAAGTCGACGAATTTGCTCTGATCCCCAGCGTTGATTTGGAACTTTGCCAGCAGGCTCAGGAAACTGCCAACCAGACCAGGTTTAGGTTCGTGTCTGGGTCGGGACCCTTCCTTTGGATCGCGAGTGGGGGCCAGCCTAGTTATGACCCCCTTGGGAGTTGTGGGATGGCAGTAACTATCTCGTTGCCCCACCCTTCCACAACATTGGTATCGGTGCTGGCGAAAATTGCAGTCCCGGTGGAAAGGTCAGGCACCACAGAATCTGTACGCGTTGTGCAGAGACTTCGCTAGGTTGCATTGGGCGGGACGAAGGGACGATTGCGCCCTAGGTGCTGCGACTTCCTGGACCACACCAGGTGCGGCGGCTTTCCAGATCATGGCTGAGTCGTGCTTCAGGTTCAGCAGCGTTTGACACTCCTCGGCCAGGTTCTGGTGTGTGACAGTGGTATCCTGTTGTAGCTTGGATATAAGGCGCGTCCGGATATTGACGTCTTGTGCACACCGTAGACCAGAGACGAAGATCAAGCAGTTCAGGCTATCTTTACCTGAGGAGTCCAATTCAGGACGAAGCCGGTCAGTCGTGGAGTGCAGCTTTAGGGGAGAGAGCAGCTACAACACTGTGCCCTTCCGATGCAGTCCCACTGATCGAAATGAATTAGCGTTGCTTCAAAGCAAACTGTGGCCTCAATAGAGATTGCTTGTCGCAATTTAGCAACACGGCGAATATTTTAAGTGTTGCAGGCATGCCAAGTGTCCCCGCAATAGGGTGCCGCAAACCCCAATGCGTGGACTGTGCTAAGCAGAGTTCAATTCCTCTCCACAGCGTTGAAGTATCCAGGAACTCTGAGTCAGAGCGCAACGGGGGTAAAGTGGACAATGTTTCTGCATAAACCACCAGCCCTACGCGGCGATCCATTCATCCACAAAATGAAGCGTTGTTCCAACTAATTGGAGGGTGATCTTGGATTACACGTTGTGTGATTTGATTGCGACGCGCAATCTCAATATGGACCGCGATTTACATTAAAGCCAACCTTGGTCACTGCGATCACTGCGACCGTTGCCCGCCCGAAAACATTGCACAACCAAGATGCGTTTCGATATCATTTTATTTCGTCAGATGAAGGTAGCAGGCATCGAACACGCAACCATTGGAATAGTAAGCGAAACCGCTACCCCTTTAGCTACCGCGTCGTGATCCGAGCATCTGGATTGCGACACGCAATCTCATTTGGGACCACAGTTGACAATTCTATGCCATTTCGACCACTACAGCAGCATCCAAAAGGGGAGAGATTCAGAGCTATTCTCTCCAAATACTGCATACTACGACCGACCAGTTTCGTCTGACTTTATCACAAATATTTAGGATCAGCAGGCGGAATGAAAGGACACCAGTCTGAGACAAGCACTCGTTTACTTGGAAAATAAACCCCATTTAGCCCTGGGATTGATATGTTGTGTCCGCTTACTCTGTATCAGTGAGGTGTAATCGGTCAGATGATATACACCGCTTGTGTAGAAGTGGAAGAAAGAGAAATAGAGAACGGTCCCCCGACGAACATTCTGCTTGTTTCCGCATTACGAACAGTGGTTCGCCGATCAGATGTCCTAATGCGGGTGGCGGGAACTTCGAAGTTAATCGGATAGGTGGAGTCGTAAATTTTCGTATTTTATAGTCTGAGTGATTTTTTGAAGCAGCGAGATCCTGTGTCTACCGGGTCTAGAATTGCGACACGTACACCATTCCACAACTGTAAACCAAGGCACTGTGTGCCGAAAGAACAGCAACGCGGGACGTGCGGTTGAATGGCATAATATACTCAGAGCAAGATCACACTGTTTCGCTGCGCAGAAATCGGAAAAACGAATTTGGAAAACCAACTTACCAGTGGTTCACTGAGTGGTGGCTAGGCTATTTTCCGTTCTGATATCTACTCACCTATTGAATCCAAAAGATTGTGCTTTACCCATTCAAAGCAGGCATAGGATGGACAAGCCTCTCGTCAGCGATTAAACTGAGCTCAACCACAAACAGGATACACCAAGCTGAGCACCCAGTGCAAATACGCGTTCATGTCTACGGATTGGTACATTTGACATTCGCCCAGCGCACGCATTCCGAGAACAAAAGAGCAGCACAGCTAACACATACACATAGTCACGTGAGCCACTTTACATACACAACCTACCTGCATAATATAGCACGAAACGCTAGCGAAGTAAAAGGTCCTACAGGATAACTACGTTAGCGGTAAACATTGCTTGGGTATCATTCGGGTAAAATGTGTGTCGAAGTAACAATATAATTCAACACCACGTGAAATTACGTTGAATAGATCTAAGCAAGCAGATATAAAGCATCCCAATGCATGCAACAGCCTGATATGTATAGGTCACTGCAAAGTACGCATCTGTAGGGGCTGGAAGCAATGTTTGCGTCAAACAAACGTTCACTGTTTCAAATGTACTGGTAATCCGCTCACCGGAAACGTGGAAAGGAAGTGTAGCTTGTTGTTTGGCAATGCTCTGACCGGCCTCGACGTCGGGAATGAGGTGGAGTTCATTATCCGCAGCCATGCATTCCGCATGCTTTTGGGCGGATTTCGTAAGCTTCCGATTTACACGCAATGATGAAACAGCATGGATAGCACGTAGACTGCGAGAGCAAAGAAACGAAAGGCTACAGGATTAGTAGGCGTCTGTTTCAAAACACGAAGTACATGTTAAAAGAATCGATGACCCATAACCGTATATCTTCTGACAAAGCAAATACCAGGGTTGAACAATGAACAATGAATTTATACGGGTTAAGAAGCGTTGCTTTACAAGCCCCGTTGGATAGTTGGTGGGGATATCAACATAATAATTATGATGAAAAGGATAGTAAAATAGTTAACACTTTAAATACGAAAATAAGGACTTATCGTTTGCTTCGCTGCAGTCCTGCGATCCACTTAGATTCACAACACCCACAGTTAACAACAAATAATTCCAGGGTAAACTCCAGGTGTAGGATGGAGACGTAGTGTTAAGTAACAAAGTGTAAGTGGATGAGTGCATCGTCCAACCGTCTTTTAAATATTGTTAGTGTCGGTGCAGAGACGACCGATTCTGGGAGAGCATTCCACGGGTGACAGACACGGATGGAAAAGAAATTTCTGCGGCACTCCAGACGACTGTATTGTTCTGCGAGTTTTAATGAGTGGCCGCTCAGGTTTGTATTGCTGCTGAGTTGCAGTAAAGGGCGGCACACATGATGAGGGTCTCGCAGAATCAAGTATGTCATAATCAGGTCGCCTCGTAGCATTCGATAACTTCCACTGAACAATCCTAGTCGTCGCAACCTCTCCTGGTAGGACAGATTGCGCATTCCAGTTACGTTCTTAGATGCCCGGCGTTGAGGCTGCTCCAGTGCATTAAGGTCGTGTTTCAGCCATGGATGCCAGGCTTGAATTGCGTATTCGACATGGGGGCGAACATATGCACTGAGCATTTGTCGAAATATGGAGCTGTTCATTTGTCCAAACGCCCGCCTCAACAGCCCAACGTGTTGATTCCCGGTCTTCGAGGCCTTTTCGGATTGCCTGGAGCAACCCAAGTCATCTTGAACCAGGACACCCAAGTCACGTTCTAGAGTTGATTGTTGCAGTACATCCGTTCCGAGTCGGTATGAGTAGCTGCCCTGATGTCGGATGGAAAGCACCTTGCATTTACTGACGTTGAAATGCAATAAGTTTTGGGTCGACCATTGATACACTGTATCTAAATCACTCTGAAGCAAATATTGGTCGGTGTTTGCCTGGATCCTGCGC